GAAACTAGGTGGAAGCAATCCTTCCCTGTGTGGCTTAACAAAGAAGCCCACAATGATTTCCTGGCAGTTGCCAGCCTTTTGTAAATCTGCTATGCAGACTAATCATTGAATTATATAATACAGCTGAAGTTTGACAAAAAAAAAAAAAAAAAAAAAGTAACCCAAGTAGACTTGTGAAATCCAGAATTTCCTAGAATTTCACTTGTGGGTGTATAATACACCCGTTTGATTTAGAGGTAGTTCAATTCACTTTGGATTCCTCAATGATCCCTTCAGTTCCACTCCCTCGTTGTAGTGTAGAGTAGTGGTATGGAACAAGGTTGGATGAAGTCTGGCTTCATGTCTAGCTCCAAGTCTAGTCCTAGACTTCATCATGCATGACATCGTGATTTTCATCATTTTTCTATTTTTTTTAGTTGTATTTTCATTTTCTATTTAGTTTAGAACACTTGTAGCCTATAAATAGACATATCTAGTGATTTTGTATTTAAACTTTTCTCATAATATATCAACTATTGTTGGTTTTATCCAAGTTTTTGAGTTCTCTCACGTTTTTATGAATCTTTGATTCATGTCTGAGTTTCATTCGCGTAACAACATTCTGATGAAGGGTATTCGTATAACCCCTATACTTCTCATGCTTCTGCCACCAGATCAAGTAAAATAAGAATTATCGTATCTCAAAAAAAGGTAACTCGAGTGGGACTCCACATTTGAAAATTTGTAAAGGACAACGTTTTAAATTGGCAGTCCAATTCAATTCAAGTACGCCGTGATGAATTTGGACCAGCAATGGCTTCATAAGATCATCTCTCACAACAGATTTTGCCACCAATCCAATTCAATTCATGTCCGTCCGGACGAGCTGCATATTCTCCTTCCCTCTTGCAATGGCTCCGTTGAAAGGCTGATTTTGTCAACCAACTTAAAGGGTACATAATTCAGCAATGATATCTTTAAGTTTCAAAACTGTGGAATGCCGTATAGAGTGTGCAGACCACGTTCGCTATAATTACATTACTTCAGCAGTGTGTCTCCTCATATGGAACTGAAAGAACAGCATGGGCTTATGCTTAACCTGCACAATCATCATATTTTGCTATAAGGAAAAAGAAGGGCCGGCTCATTGATTTATGGACAAGATATTAATCTTTTATGGTATGCTATGGAGCCATTGATGGCTCAGCTTAGATCAAAGTAGAGGTGTCAAAATTGGTGATTTGGGCGGATTTGGGTTGGGTAAAATGGGTAATGGGTATAAGTGAGTCAACCCATTTATATCCATTTAATTAGATGGATTTAAATAGGTAAGTCAAAAAATGAATTGGCTAACCCAATTACCCATTTATAACCCATTTATTTTAATTTTTTATAAACTCATTTAAATTTATTTATGCAAACTAAGTTATCAATTTATACCGCTCTTTACACCCATTATTAGTTTTAAATATTTATTTATAATGCTCAATAAGTCTAATTACTAATTTTTTTCCATCCGTACTCTATGTCGCAAAATTACATATTATTTAATAATTGAATAATAAGAATATAAAATTTTGAACTAAGTACTATAAAAGTTAATATATAAACTTAATCCAAAATTTTTGAACCCCTAAATTTTTTTCATATATAAATTTAAAATTTCAATTCGAAAAGATAAGAAAAGAGGCTAAAACTTATCATAAATTGGTAATAATGAAAAATGAGCAAGTTAACAAACTAAGAAAAAATAAAACGATAAGATAAAACCAACAAATAATAATAATAATGAAACAAAAGTAGTTAACATCATGACAAAGTGAAAAATTTGAAAAAAAAAAAGGAGGTGGGGGAAGAGAGGAGACTTGGGGAAAGAATATTTTAAATGGGTTAATTGGGTTTGATGGGTTACCCAATAATATCCATTTTTTTATTAAATGGGTATTATTGGGTAACCCATTTATACCCATATACAAAAATTTAAGATACTCATATCCATCTATTCATGGGCGGATATGAGTAAATTTAGTTAAATGGATTGGTTTGCCACCTATAAATCAAAGTAACGTAGAAGTACGAATGTAACTGCTAGATAAATGGATGATAAAGTTTTCATACTCCATCCATCTTATTCGTAATCTCATTCTTCCACCTTTTTAACATAGAGCATTGATTGCTTTCCGATTTGCCAACTGAAATATATAGTAAACTTTTCTAATTCCCAATGCATATTTATCAAGTGAATATTATGAATCAAAAGGACAGACATATACGTTTTCTTAATAAAAACAGTCCAAAATCACACATTAACCTTTTTTTATTTTTTTACACACATTAACCATTTGGTTGCCTTGTATTGCAAAGCACACATTCACAATGGTTCTAGTAAAAACACTCTTAAAAACACTCAAAAACTAATAAAATACCCAAATAACACACCAAAAAGGTGCAAAAAATTTAAAAACACAGAGACCCATAAGAAATAGAGACGTATCACAAAATTTGATTTGACATAACGTAGTACACAAACTTGTTACTAGGTCATCCATTCGAGGGGTTTATGCGCAGGAAATATGGATTCCTACAAGATTGAGGCAAGTATAATTGCATTTTGGTACTATTCGTATTGTTATTGTAGTTCTTTCAAGATGTGGTGCATGTACTTATATATTGAATTCATGTATGTGAACAAAATTTATGTTAAAAAAAAGAACAAAATTCATGTATATAACAAAATAATGTTAATATTTATCACATCAAATAAAATATGCAAAAGTCATGCAATCACATCAAAACCACAAATATACTTGTCCAAATCTTCTTCTTCTTTTTTTGTCCAAATCCAATTGCTACCTAGTTTTTTCTTCAATTCGGTGCGTAACTACCCCACCTTGTTAATAAACAATAACAAGCTCTGCCGGCCAAATTACTTTCTATGTTTCTGACAAAGGGTCTCTGTCAAACTCAAAGACTTGAAGTCTCCCCTCCACTAAACAAGAAAAGAAGAGAGGGACTTGATGACGTCTCCTCCAAGTAAATTGTTCAATTCGTAATTGCAATTTGAAAATCCAACGCTGCATTCTCGGATCGTGGATTAGAAAAAGAGCAAATGGTCCCAAACATCACCAAACTATTTAGTTTGGTCCAAAAATTAGATAAATCAATTTTCAAAGATTCAATGGTTTAAACTGAGTCATAACACTTAATGAAATGATGCAATGCAGCCCTCAGGGGCTTGGTCTGGTGGTTGAGGGTGCTGAAGATGGGGCTTCAGGTCCCTGGTTCGAACCTTGCTGCCAGCAAGTTGTTGAGGGTGGTGAATAGTCTGCGGGGTCCACTCCCTGCGGGACACACCTAAAAAAAAAAAAAAAAAAAGAAATGATGCAATGCAATTCGAGTCATTGAATTTTTGAAAAACGAATCTATTCAGTTTCTGCGAACCTTTAGTTTAGCTTGTTTTGATTGCTAACTTTAACATGTTTTTCATAAAAAAAAAAAAAAATGTCACTCAATTATTAAATTTGCAACTTCTCCGTCATTCCATCTAAATTTTGGACTATGGCAGACAGCATGATGGTCAGTCAAGCTTTACAATTAACTTTCTAGGGGCAAAAACGTCAGAACACAGCATTATATCACTCGACCCACAATCGTCCTCTGTTCCTCATCATCATCATCATCTATAAAATTCTCCTGCTCAACAATTCTTTCTTCTTCATCCATCCTCATCTCCAGTGGCTTGTTCACCTTTATGTCCCTTTACTTTTTTGTTTCTTAGCAGGTAAAGAATGGCACTTAAGAAGTTGAGAGGGGGAAGGGAATTAGAACCTTCTTCTCCATCTACTTCTGCCACGGCTACTCTTTCCTCTTGGCCACGCGGTCGATTATATTATCAACAACAAATTTGTCTAAATGGCAAAAAATGATCCTAATAGTGGTGATACTAAATTAACAACACGAGTACTAATTCTTCTTCCAATAGCACATTTATCTATGCCAATGGTAACAATGGTAATCACAACAACGATTTTATTGCTGCTTCCGCTGCAATAACCCGGGCTATCCCACGTGGCATTTTTCTTGGATTCCAATCACAACCACCACTTGAATAATTCTTCCATAAATTCTTCTTTTCCTATGTGTAGTAGGAATCATATTACTATTATCAACAGCAATAGTAGTAGGATAAATTCGGCTGATTTTGTTTCTTCATGGTTCGTTATTTTGCCTCCACTATTTGCGACCGTCAAATCCAATGTCAATCCTTGTGCTGCCACGGCAGTGGCGTTCTCGTTGTATTCCAACTCCCTATGCCGCCTCCATTTAAGTCCCCTCCGGAACCTCTTCCTCTGCTGCTACTCAGTCTGCTATTAGTATATTAGAAAACGACTCCAAATTCACGCGGCAACCACCAGTACCACCCGATGGGATCCAAGCGTGGAATACACAATTATTGAGATATCAAGTGCAAAATAATTTAATAATAAACAAGTCACATGCATGAAAGATAAACGACATACAATATTTAACGTGGTACGGCTTCACCATTGAGTCTATATCTACGGAGAGAAACTCGTTCTTTATTATGAAAGGAAAACCCTATACAAGAATACAAGTTTAACCTAATCCCAACTCTTGTATACCATCTCTCATCTCTCAAGAACCTTTTTTCACACCCCATGTATAAGACTACATGTTGCCCTTGTGTACTCGTGTATGTTTCTTGTATAGTATGTCAACCCACCTATTTATAGATAACATTATTTGGCTAAAACCCAAATAACAATAGGAAATCAATTTTAATTCCTAGATTTGTACAGTATAGGAAATAGTTACTAATCCTAAACAAAATAGGAAATTCCTTGACTAATATTTCAAATAACTAAAACCAATTAGGAAACTAGTTACTTTCACACAAAATAAGAAACCTTCTTAAAAGAAATTAGGTCAATTTCCTAACACCACCTCCTCCTGGTACTATTGCTTCTGCCCCTTGTTCTGAGCTTGCGTCCTGGGTTCCGATGAGGTTGATGGGGGAGTTTATGATGAACACGATCATCTTCCATCTACTGCTGGAGGAGCTGGACTTAGGTGTGAGCGTGAGAGAAACTGAAAATGAAGTCGACGACTACCAGTATTTCTTTGCAGCACAAGATTATGACATTATTGTTCCGGTACAGGGCAAGAATTGGGCACTGAAGCTCAAAACATATCCTAATCAAATACATCAAAGTTCTCTGTAGAGTATTAATTTGATTATCCAACTGATTACATTAACTTAATCTCCTTCCTTGACCTCACAACTAGACATAGAGGAAGTTCAAACAGCGAGGAACTTACAAAATGTTTAATGGAACACTTCTCTTTTCCAATTTCTGATTTGGCTATATGTGAAATTTACTTCTTGTCATCTCCATATCCAATTTTATAAAGTATTTTATTTTTTGTTTTATAATCTTTTGTTTTCCAATTTGGTCCATTAAAAACAATTGATCCTATATCGATAAATTAGGTGGTTTGAGGATTGAAGTGCTAGTCTAACCTTTTCCTTCTTCTTGCCCCTCTTGTTCGACTCTCCCCAACACAAATCAAGTGCAAGCAACAAGCACTCATCTATTGTAATAGCACCACTTTTGTTCTGTATCAATATCAATATTGTTAACCCTAGTGGTCAGGGAGATTTTTTCACTGTCAGATTCAAAATTCAAATCGTGAACCTGGTAATTGGGATCACAAAAGGACACGGGAAGGGGTGAAAGGTAAAATAAAAAATTAAAATATCAATATTTTTTTAAAAAAAATTATAATTGTTGCCGATCAAAAATCCCAGATTTCAAAAAAAAAAAAGGGAGATGAAGTGCAATGCTTGAATGATGGAGGCATTTGTACATTATGGACATAAAGCTGCATATTGTGATGCGATATTGGAGAGAGTGTGATTATATTAGTTGTAACCATAAAGTATATTTGCTACACAAGTGTATATACCTGGCATATCATACACATTGGTTTTCAGATTAAGTGAAAAAACTGCAGAGGCTAAATTGATATGCTCGGTCGACTAGAAAATTGGAGTATGAAACTGAAAGATGAGACCAGAGTAATAAATATAATGCAAGTGCAAGAATTTTTGGCCCCATAACGAGAAAATTCATGGCTCGCCCCTGAATAGAGCCAAGACAAAAGACAATTGCTGAGACATAGGATTAGGGAGAACAATATAATATTGGATTAGGTAAGACTTGGAAAAAGGAATCATTGGATTGGGATTGTGTAAAATGCCAAGGAATGTCAGTGAACCTTCCAAGCAAGTTTCTTAGCTAGGGCGATGAAGTTGTGCAATATAGAAGTATTATCCGTGGCTTATAAATATGAGGTGAAAAATTGCTGAATTAAGTATCATAGGAATTAAGTATCATAGGAAGTTATGGAGCAGATACTGGCTGAGGCCGCTCAATCAGGTGACATAAACGCCTTATATGATTTACTCCGGCAGGATCCAACCCTTTTGGATAAATATGTTGAGCCATCATTTGTGGATACGCCTGCACACATAGCAGCAGCTGCTGGCTCCACCCGTTTTGCCATTGAAGTCCTAAGGTTAAAGCCACCATTCCGCACGAAGCTCAACCCGGACGGGTATGGTCCACTGGACTTGGCACTGCGAAGTGGGAAAACTGGAACAGTAATACGGCTGGTTAAGCATGATCCTGAGCTCATTCGCGTCAAAGGAAGGGAGGGGTTTACGCCTTTGCACTATGTAGCTGAAGTGGGCGATGCTGAGCTTTTGGCTGAATTTCTAGAGGCATGCCCGGAGTCCACTCAAGATTTGACTAATGGAGGAGAAACGGCTGTTCATATTGCTGTGAGAAATATGAATGTCAGAGCTTTACAGGTGCTCCTGAGTTGGGTCAAGAGAAATAATAAGGAACACATCTTGACCTGGACAGATGAGAATGGAGATACTGCCTTGCATATTGCAGCCTCTACAAACAACTTTGAGGCAAGAAATCTTTTTCCTAATTTTTTTTTCTTTTATACTTATTAATTAAATATGAAAATTATGCAAGTCTTTTTTACCTTTGCGCATATTTTAGAAGCAAAGTTCATTAGCTTAACTTACCCAAAAAAAAAGTTCATTCGTTTAACTAATAATTACTCATATTTTGGTGTAATTCCCCAAACTTGGCCCATTTGAGATTCGACCAAACATCCAGCATAGGCTCTATTGAGCACCATTTTGATTAAGTTTGGTCCTCTTGTAGGTCTCCAACTCTTAGCGGTTTAGTATGTTCCTTCATGATTTTGCTATACACTTAAACGTTCATGTTTTGTAGCTCAAAATTTTGTCGGTGACAATTCGCTTCACCAAATAATGTTACAATTAATATGATCAAATAGCAACTTCACAAAATTATGTTGCAATTGATGTGATCAAATAGCAACTCTTCATATACATTGGGAGTTTTGCTGTAATTTTTTTTTTTTTTTTTGGGGCAAGAAGGTTATAAGCATGATATCTAAAAACTGCTTATATGCAGTTTGTACAGTAAGCATTTAACTAGCTAATTTTATTGACATCTTGGTCACTTCTTCAGGCTGTCAGGTTGCTAATCAAAAAGGTGAGAATAAATGAGAAGAATTTAGAAGGTTTCACATGTCTTGATACTTTCATGGGACTGCCAATCACAGGTGATGAGAGGATTGCCAAAATTTTAAGTAATGCAGGTGCGAAAACACCTTCATCTCTACGTCCACTTCATACTTTTGCCCATATTCTGAGTTCAAAGGCAACATTCTTTTTTTTTTTGTCGAAACGATAGGATAATTTCATTATAGTGAGGGAAAATTTACAAGTGCGAGCAACGGCTCGAGAGAACTTTACAAAAAGTGTTCAAAGACACTGAGGAACATTCCTTTCCTCATCCACAATAATGCCTAAGGCATCAACACTTAATTTTCTACTGTTTAACATATTTTCTTCCTTACTCAAACCAAAGGAGCACATGCAAAACAGTCTTTTCACATTCACAATATCCTCCAGCAATGTAGCCATCCTGCTGTCCTGTGGTTGTGTTTTTGTTAGTTGTCTCAACAGCGCCTTGTTGGCAAAATTGAGCTTGATTCTGCTCCACTGATATTGCGCAGCTTTGCACAAAGCTAGCTTTAATGCTAGTGCCTCATCTAGTTCTTGGTTCCCCAGGCTTCTTTCTGTCAGCTTCCAATCTGCAATTTTTGTGCCTGAAGTTGTCCTAACTGTGACTCCAATGCCTAGATTGTTTTGTCCTTTCCTTGTAGCTGTTGTCAAGTCCATGATCATAGTTCCCCGAGCTTCATTGCCTTGGCTTTGTTGATCATGCATGTGGGCTGTTTCTTCTGTACTCGTTTTATCCTTTGATCTCTCTACTTCCACTTGCTCCAGCCATTCTTTATGTGCTTTTTTCTACTGTTCTCAGAGGTGATGATCTGGTTAAGCTCTCAAACTCCTTCTTGTTTCTATCTTTCCACAATTGCCACAAAATATTTGCTATCAAACCAATGTGTTCCTTCCCTTCTAGTCTTGACCTTGCTTCTGAAATTCTAAGCCACCATCTTCTGAAATCACCCTGCTGGTCCTGAGGCCCGTCCCAGTGGATAGGTGATGCCTTCCAGATGTCCACCGCGTGGGGGCATGTTAGCAAAAGGTGTTCAATTGTTTCCTGTGCCTCTCCATAGGTTCTACACATTGGATCGCCCACTTTTGTTCTTCTACTCACTGCTTCTCTCACTGGTAAAGCTCCTTGTATACATTTCCAAATGAAGAGCTTGATTTTGTGTTTGATGTTGAGTTGCCAGAGTGTGTTCCACATCTGTACCACTTGCTGGTTCCCCTCTGTATAACTTGAGCCAGCTACCTCTGGGTTACTCTTCCTAGCATTCCTGTTGCTCTTCATTTGGATTCTGTAACCTGAATTGACCGTATACACCCCTCCTGCCTGTGGTTGCCAATAATAGCTGTCTTCCCTCCCTGACAGACTTAAGGGGATACTTAGGATCCTCTCAGCATCATCTCTGTTGAAGACTCTAAATATGGTGTTCTTGTTCCATCTGTTGTGGCAAATGAGCCCATCCACTTTTACCAGCTCACAATTGCTTGGTTTACTTGTACTTGGCATTCCTGTGATTGTCTCTGGTATCCACTTATGCTCCCAGATTCGTGTATTTCTTCCATTGCCAATTCGCCTGATCAGTCCCATGTCCATCAAACTTCTTGCTCCCATTAAGCCTTGCCAGATCCAGGAGGCATTTTTGGGGGGATTACATTGTAGTATGGATTCCTTAGGGAAGTATTTAGCTTTTAGCACCTTGCTCACAAGAAGGTTTGGCTTGGTGAGGATCCTCCATATCTGCTTCCCTAACAGTGCTTTATTGAAAGCTTCAAGGTCCTTGAAGCCAAGACCTCCCTCATTTCTCTTTCGTGCCATTCTTTCCCAAGAGATCTAGTGCATTTTGTTTCTACCATTTGTTTCTCCCCACCAGAAATTGGCCATCAGAGCACTAATATCTTTGCAGAGTTTTCTTGGCAGCTTGAAACATGACATGACATACGTTGGCATGGCCATAGCTACTGACTTTAGCATTACCTCTTTCCCTGCTGAGCTAAGGAACTTACTTTTCCAATTTTGAAGCCTTCTTTGATGTTTTCTCGCACAAAGCCAAATATCTGGTCTTTGGTTCTTGAGATCACCATCGGGAGTCCTAAGTATTTCCCTTGCTTTGCTTCAGTCATCCCTCCCAATGCTTGGCATACTTCATTCCTTTGTGCATTGGTCATGTTTCTGCTGAAAAAGACAGCAGATTTGTCGAGATTGATCAGTTGGCCTGAGGCCTCTTCATAGAGTTTAAGAACCTTCATGACCTCAGTAGCTTGATGCTTGTCAGCTTTGCAGAAGATGAGGGAGTCATCAGCAAAGAAGAGATGAGTAAGTACAGGTCCTTGCCAACTGATTTTCAGTCCTTGAATTCTATTACTATCTTCAGCTTTCCTCAGCAAACTAGAGAGTCCTTCAGAGCAGATTAAGAATAAATAAGGAGACAAAGGGTCTCCTTGTCGTATACCTCTTCCTGGAGTCACAAAGCCTTTGGCTTCTCCATTGCAATTGAAGGAGTAAGTTACAGTCTTTAAACAGCTAGTGATCCAGTTGATCCATACCGGGCAAAAACCCATTTTTTCCATCATAGCCTGCAAAAAATGCCATTCAACCCTATCATATGCCTTTGCCATGTCTAATTTGATTGCCATGTATCCATAGTTCCCTTGTCTCTTGTTTTTGAGGTAATGCATATATTCATGTGCAATCATCACATTGTCAAGGATCTGTCTATCTGGGATGAAGGCGGATTGAGTTTTGCTTATGCATTTGTCCAAGACAGATTTCAGACGATTTGCAAGGATTTTAGCAATGATTTTGTATAGAACACTACAAAGACTGATAGGCCTATAGTTCTTCAAACTGGTTGGGTGCAAGATTTTGGGAATCAGGGATATAACAGTATGATTTACTGATTTAAGCATGTATCCTGAGGAAAAGAAAGCTTTGATTGCTGGGATAACATCACATTTGATGGTACTCCAGAATCTTTGGAAGAACAACGGGGTCATCCCATCTTGTCCTGGGGCTTTTTCCGGGTTCATAGAGAAAAGTGCTTCATGAATTTCCTTCTCCTCCACAGCTTGAGTCAGCCTTTCGTTCATTTCCTGGGTTATGGATTGAGGAATACCATCTAGAATTTCTGACGTATCCCCCCTCCTTCCACTGTCAAATTGACAGGTGCCGAACCTGTGCAATAATAATAAATAAAACCTAACTACCACATAAAGCAGTCAATAATCAATTCGAGTACTGGAGCAGGGACTCTAGGTATGCAATAGGTTACTTGATTCACCCTGTTCCCGAAGAGTTTGCTTAATCCGATATACTTGAATTAATTATTTAACTAAATTTACTAACTTAGTAGACAGTGGTAAGCAGGGTCGTCTCCTCAGGGACTGGCGAGAAATTTATTTCTTTTCAAGTCAAGATTAATAGGGGGTTTTGGGATTAAACGACAACTAAATAAATTAAATGCAGAAAATAATTAATTAAAAGAAATAACTAAGAGAAACTCTAGCCAAGGGTATACTTCAGAAATGGTTCATGCAACTGATCATTGATTCAAAGGTAATTCCAACATTTATTAATAGAGTGGTTATAGTTGTCTCGCACGCGCTAAACAACCAACCCTTCCTTAATTTATCGATAGCTAAGGTACGACCGTTAACTATTTCCCTAACCCAAAAACAACCCTAGGTACGACCGTAGGATTTAATTTCTGGTTTGCATTAATAATTAGAAAGGCCCAATCCTAATTAACAAACACGCTACGAGGGTTTGTTTAAATTAGATCGTATGTTTCCCTGACATAAACCCAATTACGCCAGTTGCTACTGGGATAGAGATAACGAACAATTACGGATTCAATTACCTCTATTTAGCAAAATAGCCTGTATGAATAATTAATTATTGCGCACTAATCAATCATACACAAGAGCTATAACAGTTAAAAGCAGGAAACATATGAATACCAATAAATGGAGGAAACAATTAAAATAAATTAGATCTCACAGTAATTGTTGAACCAAGTCTTCAGTTGTCCCCTTCACTAGAATTAAGAGGTTAGTCCTCCATTAATGGAGAACAACCATGCGAAAGAGCTATTCGAACCTTACAAAATTGTTCCTGGCCAAATCGGCCAACTAGCCAAAGAAAAAGTCATAAGAACAAAGCAATTGTGCCCTTTTTATTTCTGCCGTGAGAAGAAGAACCGAATTTGTTGCTGCCTTCAACTCTTAATCACGCGGGATCCGGCTTCCCTTTTCCTATTTTCTCGGTCGGCTAAAGGAGCAAAATCAAGACCAATTACAATGCTATCCAAATTAGCCAAAGTCCAAATACAAAGGTCCACCACCGTGGCTTTCTCTCGATGGTCCCCACATAGCAAATCCAAATAGAAATTCATGCCAAGCCAAGTAGACCTACTAGGAGTCTAATACTTCCCTCTTTTTCCTTTTGGTAGCCACGAAATTGAAGGAATTGATTTTCCTAATTTTTAACTTTTTTAAACCAAATAGACTTCCTCCTAATCTTCTGTCAATAATCCACGTAGACTCCATTTTGAATTAGAAAACTCTTGAAAAATCACATTTTTTATCTCTTTTTGCTCCACCTTCCTGCAATTAGTACCAAATACCAAATATAAGTAGAATCAATCAATTAAAATAATATTTGGCTAAAATCTAGGTAAAAATAATTATAAATTTAGCAACAAATTATGACCTATCACAAATAAATCCTTGAAGAAATCTGAAATCTCAGTCACTACCTCCTCCTCATTTGTTGTCCAAGAGCCATTACCTCTCTGCAAGGTCCTGATTCTGTTGCTCACTCTTCTGCCTTTAACATAGGAGTGAAAATATTTAGTATTCTTATCACCCTCCCTGAGCCAACAGATCCTAGCTTTTTGACACCAGAAATTTTCTTCCTCCTTATAAGCTGCTTTCAATTGGTCTTTAATGAGAGCAAGGATCTCTTTCCTATTGTCAAGACTCGATTCTTTAACTCTCTCAAAATCCTTTTTCAACTCAGAAATTTTTTGCCTAGAGTTTGCTTGGAAGGTATTCCTCCACTTCAAAAGCTCAATTCTGCAATTTTTAACCTTCTTAGTGACCTTGAACATTCTAGAACCTTGTTCTTCCTTACTCCAAGCTTGCTCTATCACTTGTTGTATCCCTTCCCTTTGGAGCCATCT